CTTTGTTTTTAATCAGAAGCAGCATGAGTAAAGACCCCTTACCCTTCCTTATTCATGGCGTGCTGGGCAGTGGTTTTATTTATTATTTTGTTTGTTTGTTTGTTTGTTTTTTATATTTAAAGGTTCATATAAATGTTGTTAGCTCTAATACACATTTCACATGTACATTATAAGTTGATGTGTATAATTTATGTTATGCATGTAAATACCTGTTTTATACTAGCTGAAAGCTTAAAAAATGCAGAAGTAATAAATTCATCAAATTATTCTTTCTCTAAAAAAACAAAGTTCTTGAAAATCAAGACTCAGAAACAGAAGTCATTAAGTGATTAAAATAAGAAACAATTTAATAAATAATGTACGTGATAAGTAGTTTTTTTGGGGGGAGGTAAATGTGTAAACGTCTTGTTTTATAACATATAATATGTGCAAAAAATGTGCTTCATCATATAATATACAAATTCTAATTAGGCTTGGAGTGCTTACTGACTTAGGACATTTAAAATATGTAATCAGAAAAATGTTTTTTTCTTTACACAAATCATAATATGCTTGTTGGAGATTTTAATCTACACCTCCAGATGCAGGAAGAGGGCCACTTGCATCATGAAGGACCCCACTCACCCAGCACACACACTTTTTGCTCCACTCCCCTCAGGCAGGAGGTTGTGGAGTATTAAGTAAAACCACTAGACTGAGGAACAGCTTCTACCCTGAAGCTGTTAGACTCATAAAACCCTAAGGGGAAAAATCACTGTAATGCCTTTGGTGATATGTGACCTATCTGTTCTGCTGCTTATCCATGCTGCTGATCTCATGCTGCTAACGATCTCATGCTGCTGTATTCATTCAAACCTATCTGCTCACCACAGACTCTGGTTTGGCTGCTGCTGATACAATGTATTGACATTACTAGTGTTTAGCGTATATCTTAGTCTTAGATCCTTATTTATTTTTCTTTTTATACTTTATGTTTTTGCTATTTTTTGGTGTAACTGGGACCCTGAGTGCACAATTACGTTCCACCTCATGTACCACATGTGATGTGAATGACAATAAACTTGACTTGAACTTGAACTTAATGCACACACATTTTATTTTTCAAATGTTACATTTAAAGTAAAACAAACAACATTTGGTACACTTTTGTTAGGTTAATAAATAATGCAAACACACTCATAGGCACCTAAAATCAGATGACGGAGCCTCAGAGCTTCATGGAAAACAATATTTCTCTGTTTTGTTGTCCAGGTTTTGAGGTGCTCAACCTACTGCTTAAAGCCAGGGGGGCTCAGTGGATGGGTGGAGTCCATCGTTATTGTTTGTTCTGGTTCTGTATCTGTTTAATGGCTGCTGTTGGTCATTCATTTGAACCACATGCTGCTCACAATGCTGTCAATTTTTAACTGAATGTGAGTGAAAACGCCAGAATCCAAATGATAAAAGATCTTTAGAAAACTTGAAGAACTATCGTACTGCTCAAGACAACTTTGAAAAGATTACAAGAACATTTGGTTCTTATAATAAAATATTTTCCCACTGTGCTGTCCCATATTATATTGTCTGCAACAGCCTTAACTTGCATTTCCTGAAAACTATGAATAGAGTGAACTGAAAAAGAACTAGTTCTCTTTAAAGAACAGGAGTGACATGTAAAGCAAAGCTTGAAAGCTGTAAATCTGTAACTTCTATCAGAAACTATTTAAATTCCCAATGAACAGTCAGAAAGACAAACTCCCACAAATCAATGGAGTTGAGATTAAAATAATTGTTTGCGAAGATTAAATGTAGTCAAGCAAATATTCATAAATGGATGCATCATTCTCAATAAATTAATGAAAGTGTTTTGGAAATTATGGTTTATTTACTAATATGCAACACCTAATCACCCCCAAGATTAGTCACCCTTTGAACACGTGAGCAGGTACCACCTTGACTTGTTTAAGAAGTGACTCTTGGTGGTTCAAACCAAGTCAATCAATAATTATCAGATCTATAATTGTGACTATACTTTGTATTTTTCATATTTTGCTTCCCATGAGGCAACCTTTTGTGAATCTTTCAAACTGGTCTTGATCAGTACTTCACAGCTTTCTGAGGATCCTTCCATCCATCTATCCATTATAATCTGCTTTTTCCTGTTCGGGTCGCAGGGGTCACTGGTGCCCATGTCCAGCAGTCACTGTATGAGATGGGGGAGACACAATCATCCTAACATGCATGTTTTTGATGAGAAGAAACCAGGGTATCCAGAGAAAACCCACACATGCACAGAGAGAACATGCAAACTCCACCCAGAAAGGCCACTGGGATTTGATGGGGCGACCTTCTTTCTGAGAGGCAACAGCTCTACCAACTGCACCACCGTGCCGACTTTTCTGAAGATCCTCTAAAGATTTTCTTTTCAGGTTTTTGGACGGTTATTTTTTTCATTGCTTTTGAACACCTTGATTTAATTAATTCACAACCAAACCTAAATTATTTCTTCATTTTCAAGATTTGGCATGCGCTTTCAAACGATGATTATAAGTTGGCAACCTGTGGCTCTGGAGTCACTTCCTCTAATATAATTTAATATTTAAATTTACAATTGTTGTTGTAGCAGTTCTCACCCACACAAATGCACCAAGGTCATAGGATTGCTGCTGCAAATTACAATATATCCCAGTTGGTATGAGCTTCTTGTGTAAATTCAGATGTGTAACACACATTAAGAGACATGTCTTCTTATTTTCTTCTTTTTTCAGCTTTTCCTCTTCAGGGGTCGCCACAGTGAGTCATCCTCCTCCATCTCACTCTGTCCTCTGCATCCTCTGTCCTCAATCCAACTGTCCTCTCTGCATCCATATATCCTCTTTGGCTTTCTTCTATCTTCATTCTTCTATCTGGCAGCTGCATTTCTAACATCCTTCTACCAATATATCCATGGTCCCTCCTCTGGACATGTCCAAATCATCTCAGTCTGGCTTCTCTAACTTTATCTCCCAGTTGTTCAACCTGTGTTGTACCTCTGATTATCTCATTCCTAATCTTATCCATCCTTGTCACTCCTAAGGAGAACCTCAACATCTTCATTTCTGCCACATCCAGTTCTTTCTCCTGTCTTTTTGCCAATGCCACTGTCTCCAGACCAAACGACATAACTGGCCTCACCACTCTTGTAAACTTTTCCTTTGACCTTTGTTGACACTCTTTTGTTGCAAATCACACCTGAAACTTTTCTCCATCCACTCCATCCTGCCTGGACTCTCTTTTTCACCTCTTGGCCACACTCCTCGGACAGTGGACCCCAAGTTTTTGAAGTCCTGCATCTTTGTGACCTCTGCTCCTTGTAGCCTCACTGTTCCACCTGTCTCCCTCTCATTCACACACACGTACTCTGTCTTACTGTGACTGACTTTCATTCCTCTTCTTTCAAGTGCATGCCTCCACCTCTCCAAGTTCTCTTCCACCTGTTCCCTGTTCTCACCACAGATCACAGTGTCATCTGCAAACATCATAGTCCATGGGGATTCCTGCCTGACATCATCTGTTAGTCGGTCCATCACCAGAGCAAACAAGAAGTGGCTCAGATACAATCCTTGATGCACTCCCACCTCCATCTAGAAGCTATCTGTCACTCCTACAGCACATCTCACCAATGCTGTCCTCAAACATGTCCTGTACCAGTCTAACATACTTCTCTGCCACCTCAGATTTCCTCATGCAATATCACACCTCCTCCCTCGGCACCCTGTCATATGTGTTTTCTAAAGACACAAAGACTCATTGGAGTTCTTTCTGACCCTCTCTGTACTTCTCCATCAGCAAGGATCAGTCAAAGTAAATTTGGCATCTGAGGTGCTCCTTCTCAGCATGAAACCATACTGCTGATCACAAATTTTCACTTCTCGTCTAAGTCTAGCTTTGACAACTCTCTCTCAGATCTTCATTGTGTGGCTCATTAACTTAATTTCCCTAGCTGCTACAGCTCTATACATACCCGTGTTTTTTTTTTTTTTTAAATTTTTTTATGGGCACCAGCACACTTCTCCATTCCTCAGGCATTTCTTCACCCTCAAATATGCCATTGAATGTTTGAGTCAAAAACCTACTGCCATTTCTCCAAGACATTTCCAAACCTCCTCTGGTATGTCATCAGGTCCTATTACCTTCCCGTACTTCATTCTTTTCAGAGCTTTACAAACTTCACCCTCACCAATCTTTCACACTACCTGGTCCACAGTTTCGATGACCTCTACTCTTCTTTCCCTTTTATTCTCTTCATATTTTAGCTCCTCAAAATACACCTTCCATCTTCCTGTCATGCTCTCCTCGTGCACTTGTTATAACATTACCATTTCTATCTTTAACAAGCCTAACCTGCTGCACATCCTTTCCAGCCTGATCCCTCTGTCTTGGAAATTGGTACAAGTCCTTCTCGCCCTCTTTAATGTCCAGCCTCCCATACAACTCATCATACGCTTTCTGCTTTGCCTTTGCAACATTAAGTTTACATTTAGAGACATACACTGTCTCCCATTTTGTCATTTCCATAATCATTTAACTATAAACGTATCTTCACTTAAACATATTTAAACTACAGTGTTCAGTTTTGCTGTTAATCTAATATTGTCTTAGCTAATACTGTATTATGTTCATGCAACTTTACAGTGTAAAAAAATACATTTTTCTAACAAACTAGAAGGAAATACAAGAAGGATACAATATAAAGTGTATTTTTCTTGTAAAAAATAAACTATTTGGATTATGTTCTTCTTTTCTTTCATCATTATTCTAAATGTTGACATAAAAATCAATAAAATAACATTTTAGCTGTGAACATTCATACTTCAGTTGTGTAATCAAGTAGATTTTATAGCACACTGCATATTTTATTTTGTAGAAGAGGTTAAACATGGCCTTTTTTACTGTAAACTTTGCTGACTCCTTAGAACATCTTGCTTCCTTAGATAGACAGCTTTACTATACATTTATAATGTATGTAGTGCCCTGAAATAACTTATGTGGTGACTTGGCGCTATATAAATAAACTGAATTGAATTGAATCGAATAATATGTCCTCACAAAGTATTTTATTTTTAAGTTTAGTACAGTGCAAACATAAAGAAGCTTTTTAATGGCTGTGGGCGAAAGGCGGGTCAAACGTGTGATTGACATAAACTTTGTCCAATCAGCAAGCAGGCATGAGCAGGAACCGGATGTAGTTTACTGTTCAGCGTTGTGTTGATGATTTCCAGAGGAGCAAAAGACGACTTGACGTTTGGGTTTACCTCAAGAACCTTATAAGTGTCAGTATTTCTGTTTGACTTCTTCGTTCAAAAGTCAAAGGTAAACAGTTCACGGGTGTATGATTTTCAAGGGTGTGTCTTTTAAAATAAATTATGTCAAGACGTATGATTTGAAAAAGGGAATAGTTAGCTTGTGTGACTCCTTAGCCGGTAGCTAGTTAGCTGCAGTGCTAACGTAAGGAAAATTGCGACTACATATCCATATATAAATCCGTGTTACTTATTTTTTTAATTATTTGTTCAGTATTTTAGTTTATTCTTTGTTATCAGGCTTTTGAAAGTATAAATACCCCCCATATAGCCCTGACAGCTGCTGAGTCATGCTAACTATTGTTGCAACCAAAACTGAGACATTCAGCAAAAATATCTTAGTCTGAGTAGTTATTTAACACCTTACGTTCCCAGTGTCCCCGTCATTTAAAAGTAATCATGTAATGTTTACGCATTTAATAAGCAGATGATGTTTTAAAGTTGGTATCAAGTCACGGTTTGTCAGGCTATGTTTGTTTCTTTTAGGCATAGCTTGAGGTTTTACTTTTACTGCAGTGTTGTTTCGTTTTCTGTTTAGAAATTGGTGAAAACTTCTGAATCAATCAATGGGAAAAATCTAATCATGTTCAGCTTCGAGGGAGATTTCAAAACAAGACCCAAGGTCTCACTAGGAGGGGCAAGTAAAAAGGTAAGCTTCATCAGATCATTATTGTTGCTAATGACCAGCCTAATTCTTCAACTATGGTAAATGGACTGTACTTATATAGCGCCTTTCTATCTTATCAAGACACTCAAAGCGCTTTACACTACAATCTGTGTCCTCATTTACCCATTCATACAGCACTCTACTAGATCTCTACAAAGCTAATTGAACAGATCATTCTAAAGAGACTAATCAGTGCTTTATCACATTCGTACACCAATGGGACACACATCAGAGGCAATGAAGGGTTCAGGGTTTTGCTCAGGGACACTTAGGCATGTGACTGCTGCTGGATTCAAACCCCCAACTCTTGCATTGGAGGACCATTGCTCTAACCACTCAGCCACAGCCGCTCACAACTATCCATGCAGGCACCATAAAATATATTTTCTTACAGCGTTTGTCATATAATAGTTTTATGTGTTGCTTTTTAGGAGGAAAAGGCATCTTTGTTACATCGCACTCAAGAAGAAAGACGAAAAAGAGAGGTATTATTCCCATAAAGCTGTAATTTTATGAAGAATATTGATGAGGTTCCTCCTAAACAAAATAATTATAATTTGAAATCATTATAGCTTTCTGTAAGTAAATGCATTTTGTTTCAAAAATATATAAAACGACTGTGGTACTAATTTTGTACAACTAGAATAAAATGGGGTTTTGCCAAGTGATTTTATTTCAGTTGACAGTAGTGTTGGTGGCACATTTTATAAGTTGTGGCTTACTTTAAAAAAAGTTAGGGCTATTTTTACTGATCTATTAGCCATTTTCCTATTATAACAGTTGTGTATTCAATTTAGTTCTGTCTGGTGTGTTTCAAAACATTAAGATATTGGTATACTTTAGTTTCAGTTATGTCAAGTTTCTTTTTTTTCATTTCTAAAATGTGCTCTGTAATGGTTTAGGATGAAAGAAAACGACTGAAGAATGCTGTCATCATCCAGTCCTACATTCGTGGCTACCAGAACTTGAAACAACAGGTACGTCTGCATCGGTTTCTGCCCATACAGACAGAGTGGGGGTCTCAGTCACTTTAGAGCAGCTCAGAGTAGAAATTGCCATTGTCTCAACTCTTAATGGTTCTGCACTATACCGCACCAGTTAAGGGCCTGCCCACTGTCTGTACCCATACCCACTCAGCCAGGTTTATGGGACCATCTTATTTAAGGTTCCAAGCGGACTGCTCCGAGGTGCCGATTTTACACAAGCAGACACCAGTCATTGATTGGCCAGTAAAGCTGCATCACTGGATGACCAGCAAAACTGAAAACCATATTCGAACCTCCACTTCCTCTCTGATCGTGTTGACGGATGACACCACAAGAAATTAGAGGATTTACAGAGAGATATCGGAGATGATGGCGCAGCATGGCTGCAGCCGCACTTATAAACGGTGCCAGGACAAGCTGAAGAAATTGAAGTCTGATTATAGGGAGATTAAGGACCACAACAGGTAGAGCGGCTCGAACAATGACCTGTTCCAATACTGCCAAATTTGCCTTGACAGTACCGCCTAAAAAGTGGGTAAACAAGTCACAGTGCCAAATCACCTGCACCTGAGAAGAACCGATAGGATGAGAGCAGAGTGGAGTCAAACTTATCAATGGCACAGCGGCTTTAGTTGAAATAGTTAGAGCATCTTGTCAAGTTGTCTACCAGGAGAAGGGTTTTGGGCATGGCTCACAAGAAGAAGACTTAGGACTCTGTACAAACGGTCACCAGGATGTCTTTAGAGCACCTTCCCCTTGCTCATCCCTTGAGATGAGCTGAGAAATGTAGCTGGAGAGAGGGAGGGCTTAAAATCTCTGCTCATGGATGAGTGGATGCTTTGACTAATTTTATTGTTGTTGGCCCAACAAAAACATTTATACTGGGAACAACCAGGTTACTTATACTACTGGAATGAAAGATAAACAAGTTCATATATGATTTTAGTTAGTTTTTATTTTTGTCTATATTTTCTGAGCAATTAAGCATCCTCTGATACAACATATTTTCTATAGCAATATTCTGCTTTTGAAAACTATTGAAGGCATAAACTATTTCCTCTTGTTTTTTTGTGTTGTTTACAGTACTTTTATTAATGATGTAAATTTGTTACTCTGGCCATTCAGAATTAAACCAACGTTGCAATTATTTATGTATTGTTATAATAATTAATTTACTGTTTGTGTATTATACTCTTGAACTGAATTATGGGTTAACATCAGAAGGTATGCATGTGTACATATCCATTTATGACCAGGTGTACCTGATCCACTATACAACAAAAGCAGAATGCCGCTTGACAGAATTAATTTTAATAATACACATAAAGAGGGCATCTTACTTTGCCCAGAATAGTTGAAGACATTCTTACTACTGATTCATTTGTTGTTGCATTAAAAATCGTTTATGATAATATTAACATATTAGTCTGCTCATATTGATTTGTTTTGGACCTTTTTAACTCAACAGTATGCCATTCAGAGGGCTAGGTTTGATGAGAGTATGAGCCAGTCACAGGCAGGGGGGGCTCAGCGTGTCATGGATAGTGCCACCCTCTGCCTCATATCAAGACGACTTATATTTTTTTACCGACAAAACATGGATGCACATAGATTGGTGAGTGCAAAATTACTTTGATGTTTTTCAGTTCAAACACTGTTTTATAGATGCTATTATAATCTGTAGCTGAATGTGTAATTCCTTCTTTTTTTTTCTGAAGGTATGGCTATGCCAGAATCTGGTAAAGCACAATAGTCAGTTTGTGAAGTTGTTAGTCGGCCCACAGAAGCAAACATGTATGTTTCAGATCAAAAGAATCTTGGGCTTCTGTTGCAGGTATGGTTCCATAACTGCATATTAACTTAAACACACAGGAATTTGGTAGGATTATTATTTAAAGAAGATTATGCTGACATTACCTCACTTGTCTCTTCCCAGGCTCCTGCAAAACTGCACTGATGAAAGTTTAAATGTTGCAGTTCCCATGCGCATGCTAGAAGTTTTTTCGACAGAGAAAACCTATCTTCCTATTATTCCAGACGCTAACTATGTAGCTTCTTTACTCGAGCAGATTTTGCACTATATGGTTCAGAAAGGTAAGCGAACAGTTGATGTCACTTTCTTAGTTTAGTTGTTGGGAACGAAAATAAATTTAAATAATTATGTTGTTGCTTTGATAAATGAGGTTTAATTTACTGTTTCTACAATAAATGAAGATGTAACTATTTTAATGGCTAAACATTCTGCTAATGTTTTAGAAGAAAAGTCTTTGGATTGTGTGCAAATAAAGGCCTATTATTAGCCGCAAACAGGGATGGGCCTTCAATAGCTAAATATATAAAAATCAGGGGTGTTGCTTGTCAAAATATTTGTCAGACTTGGCTCATCAATTGATGCGATCACAATTAGTATTTTATTTTACACAATCTCAAACGTGTCCTTCTGCATTGTTGCATTCTGTTCAATACAACTGACTTTCCATTGTAAATACTAATTTATCTTTTTGGCCTCTCATCAGGATACTACAGGTCGCTATATATTCTTGTAAATCACAGACTCCCCTGCAGTCTGGAGTACAGTGACACTCCATCTATTCCTCTGGCAAGCACGCTGTTGGCACACATCTTCAAACCTCTGCACTTTACCTACTCCTCCTGCACAACGGGCGCAAGGTACACCAAGACTGAAAATAACTTTTAAAGAACGATTTGTTTAGAGGGGTGGGGGAACAGGTTGATTATTTTGGAAAAAAATGAAGTACAAATCTAAATGCTTACCTCCCCAATTAGAGCTTATTTGAAATTTTATCCAATTTTATTCTTAAATAGTCTAATACTTTTTTAAAGTTCCTTTTAAAAGGGTTAAAAATACAGACTTACTAATTTATTTGATGTATTTGTGGATTTGTCTCAAAAGCGACCCATGTTTTCAGAACCCCTACTGTCTACTGAAGAAAAGTGTGTACTGGCACTTTCAAACACCAAATGTCTTTGTCTCCAGTGAATTCTTTTAAATCATCTAATTAACTTATCAGACAAACTGCAGCCCTTTTTTTTTTTTTTTTCTAATTTTTAGTCATTGGTGAAGCAGTACCGTATTTTCCAGCATATAAGTCGCATCAGTAAAAAAAACATATATGTCGCTTCGGCGTATAAGTCGCATTTATTATGTGTCACTGCTGCCCCGTAGCGTTTATTATGCGTTTATTTAATGGTTAAAACGGCTTCATTTGGCCTTGGGCTGTGCGGCACCATCCATCCATTCATCCATCCATCACGGTCGGAGCCACTAGCTCTCCAGCGTTCCTCCACCTGCTGCGTCAAGTGAGCGCGCATGCGAGGACTCGCTGTTGCAGTTCTTAAAAATTTAAAGCGTCAGACAAAAATTGTGTTATGAATATGGAAAAAAAAACATGTATAAGTCCCAGGACTGACAAATCTATGCAAAAAAACTGAGACTTATATGCTGGAAAATACGGGTAATTGCTTCAAGGACTATTGTCAATACGCCATAAAAGTCCCCCAGACGTGCCTGTTTGCTGCAGTGCAGAAAATCAGACTGTTTGCTTTCAGGTTGAGACATTCTTGATCACAAACGACAGGAAGACTTTCTTTTTTAAAGAAATGTTCAGTGGGAGAAGCTTTTTTTTTTTTACACGGTGATCTAACAGTTAATTATGCCTCGTGGCCACCCATGGGGGACTGGGCTACACAAAGCAGCTCTGTTTGCAGAGACAATATTGGCAGACTCGTGCACCAACAAAAACAAACGAACAAAAACCTCAACAGGACAGTTTTAAAGCTATTCAGCTAACAAACAGTATTTTCATCTGAATTTGTTAATGTTTTTAAACAGTGCATTGACAACTGTTTTGTTTGTTGTTTGCTAGGCAGTTTGTGTTTGCAGCTTTTACCGAGGAGTTCATCTCTGCACCGTTTACCGAGCAGATATTTCACTTTTTTATCCCGGCACTGTCAGACCGCTGTCTCTCATTTCCATTGGAGGCCTTCCTGAATTCCCTTCAGGCCACAATTAACTCTTCTTCAGCAGCACAGAGCCAGGCACCATGGCTCTTTTACTTTGTCCTTTCTGCAGGGGAAAATTGTTTAAGTAAGTGCCACAGTTAGGAGCTGTGAACTGTACATCCTATCTTTCTACTCTGTCTTAACATGAGCACTTCACAGAGAGAAAGGTGGAGTCACGTGCACTGTGCAGTAATGGTGGATGTATGTTATCAGGCTCACTTTCAGAGGAAGGTCACCTGCTGTACCTTCAAGCTCTGCAGACGCTGCTGCCGCTGCTGCCTGTGTCAGAAAATACCAACAAGCCCGAGGTGAACAGCGACTCTGAGGATGATGATGATGCTGACCTCCACTCTTTGCCAATGCAGGTACACAAACATCAACTCATTATGCAAACAATACATTTACATTAAATAAATTTGTCTTATTTATGATTTATTTGGCTGCTGTTGAGTTTCTCATTTCCTCTAGCTAGTGTTTTTTTTATGTCATCAGACTCTAAAATATAATTTTGACATTCCCTTCATCACAAGTAGAGCATGTACCCAGTAAAAAAAAAATCTACTTTTTATATTAAAGTATAATAAGCTTTTGACAAAATCTTTTTATCTAAGCTTGGAATGTGTGACTCAACAATATAAAATTTGGATAAACTAAAACCTTACTTGTTCTTTTAACTCCCAAATCCCCACAATTAATGTAGTTTGTATGAAATTACAAATGCCTGAGGCAAAGAAAACAATCTATTGTTACTGTATAAATTTGATTTTTTTAAAAGATTTCTGATAATGCACGGATAAACAAATAAACTTCCACAGCACAGAAGGGGTATAATTACTATGTAACGTGAAATATGAAGCTGCTGCTTTGGTTGAAGTTGCTTTTGTGTTTGTTGTGTACATTGAGTAAAATATGATGACTCCATTGCTCACAAAATCATAAGTAATCTGACAAATGTTTATTGTTGGGACACCCTGAGCAAGATACTGACCATGTCATCATAATGCTCCCTGTTTAGATTTTTTTTTTTTTTTAACTTTTTGATGCAGTACACTATGTTGTTCACCCTATTTTCAGTAAACCCTCAACTTATCACTTTAATTAAAAAAAACAAACACACACACACACATACATCCATCCATATCATATCGACTTATCCTGGTCCTTCTAACCATGTTTTCTTGTATTTTTGTCAGGATGACAGCCGGATTTCTGTGCAGCAGATAACAGAGGAATGCATTCGCAAGCTGGACATGAAACAACAAACCAACGCCCTACTGAACCTGGTGTGGAGGGACTCGGCCAGTGAGGAGGTTTTCACCATGATGGCGTCCATTTGTCACATTCTTATGGTGCAACATCGTCTAATGGTGCCAAAAGTCAGGTACAAACACACAAAACAAGTGTGAGAGTTTTTTTTGTTTTTTTTTGTGGGGGGTGGGGAGAGCCTAAAACACTGAAAACACTTTAAAGTAGGGATGGGGCCGATGCAATCCAGTATCGTATCGGCCTCCGATACCAGCATAATTTACGTATCAGATTTTTCCGATCCACCTGCCGATATTTCCGATCCATGATGCACGTTGGCTTCAAACTATGGAATGGATTTCCTGAACGTCGGCGTGTCTCATGAACCCAGAGTAATAAAACCCGCCTCACATTCAGGAAATCCAGTTCATAGTTTGCAGCCAGCTACAATGTGATGACTGAGTTAGCAGCACTGTGGCTAACAGCTAACAAACTTTTAATCTAAACATGAAGTATTTTACACTACAAACACCACAAAACAAGACAGCATCCTGCAATGTCTGCAGAGCCATAGCGCCACATTAAACTGCGGTAAAGTTAGTTTTACGATGGACATTCGAGCTCCGTGGCTTCAGCGGGGCGCTGCCCTTTGCTCAACCCAAACCAAGCGACTCGACACCGGCCAGCTGCGTCCAATCTGCCCCGCTCAGTCTGCCCGTCTCCGAGGGGGGACAGACTGAGCGCGGCTGCCCCAAATCAGGCTGCTTGCTTCACATTGAACAAGAAGAAGACATCGCTGAAACCACGGAGCTCAAATGTTTACAGAGAAGTTGCTAAACTTCATCATAATTCATGACCAACCACTATCAGTTGTAGAAAACGAAGGATTTCTCAGCTTGATACTTGCAGCCAAGATATAGTTTACCCTCCAGGAGATATTTATCAGTAGACAATCATAAAAAACATGATTTGAAAATTATAATAAAAACAAAAACAGCTACATTATAAAGTGATGTAAAATACTAAAAACAGGAACTTGCCTGTTGGTTTATGCCATGAACTTAGCAGATGTTTGAAGCCATTTAACATTTTATTTAATTTAATTCATTTATTCATTCATTTAAAATAAACAATTTTTAAAAAATCATCAAAAAGAAAACATTGAATGAAAAGAGTGCAGAAAGAAGAAAAATAATTCTTATATCTGCCCCTTATTTAAAAAAATATAAAACAACTTTAAACAATCACTTAAATTAATCACTTTAATATCCACTTTAAAACTAGGAATAAAAAGAAACATGTTTTGTGTTAGCAGAATTTAATTCTAACTTTAAAACTTATCCAACATTAATAAAACTTACCTCAAGTTGCCTTTTTGGACATACATGCATTATTTGTACAAATTGTACTTGAGAGGAGATTATTACAGCCTCATATAAAATCAATGATGATCATGATATCGGAACTGGATCGGTATCGGCCGATATTTAGATTTAGGTATCGGGATTGGATCGAAAGTAAAAAAAAAAGTGGATCGGTGCATCCCTACTTTGAAGGACTTATTGCAGAGCCGTACATAATTCTTTATAATCTTTTATAATTCAGATGAATCATTGGTCAGTTAAATGTGAATTTTATAGTGAAGCAGGCATTAAATAATACTTTTTTTTTTTTTTAAATATCGTAACATTTTCTACTTATCAAGATCAACCTTGCATCCCATCAGCTTGTTTACACACTTACCTGATTGAGGAGGAAACTGTGTCTTTGTGTTTCTGCGCTGCAAGCAGTGATGTAAATAATGGTAGGCAGGCCGTTATCATTGGTCCGCACCCACTGGCATTTACAACCGGCTGAAGACGCAGGGATGTCACGGAAGCTGTCGGTTCTGGATGAGGGAAATTAGCTCCTTTTTTTTTTTTGGTTGATTACATTAGAGCTGGGATGTCAAGGAGGGTGTGGGGGGCTGGATGGTGCATTGACAAACAGGAAGTGAGCTCGATTGGGCTTCATGGATGGTGAACCTGCTTGAGTTAATTATTAGTGAAGCCAGTAGCTGTCAGATGACTGTGTCTTTGAAGTGTAAAACAGGAACATAGGATTAGTATCAGGTGAGCTGTTGTATTTTAATAAATATATTTTAAAGTTATAGCTGACCAAGATCCATTATTACAGATTAAATCAAGCATGTTTAATTTTCTTCCAAAAATGATGCAGTTTCGCAAAATTTTAAAGAATTTCGGCATCTATCCTACCCATCTATTTTTACAGCTTCCTCTCTTCTCCACTTTTATCATAAATCCTGCCCTTCGTCTTCCATCATTATTGGATATCTGTACAAAATAATTAGCTCACTGAGAAAGATTAATTACCGCAAGAGTGGACGGGATAGTTTTACAAGAGGCTAAGGGGAGCAAATTGCATCCTGGTCTTGATTTACTGCTCTTACAGTAAAGAAAAGGAGAGGTTGTGCAGTCAGCCCAGCACACTGCTCTTTTTTTTAATAAATATGTAAAATGTCTGATTAAGTTGTTCTCTACCTGCTTTTTTCACAGCTCAGAGATTTTCAAGTGAATTTCACTAATTCCGCTAAGTGTTGTTTTGTTATGTAGAGTGTTACTTAAATTGTCAGAGTTAGATATTTGGTGTAATTTTACTTTGATAGTTAGGGTTCACACAGTGCGACACTCCGCTGCTAACGGGTTGCTGCTAATTGAAGTGATCTACATTTACTTTTGCATGGTTGCTGTGATTTTTGTGTCGTCATAAAATAACCGTGTTAATTTAAGTTGGTGAAACTAATTTGCATTGAGGCAAAAACTAGCTCATACGGTACTTTGTGGTATCAAATCTGACCCCAGTTGTTGTTTTTCTCTGCTGATCCGAGGTTCTTTCATCACAGCAGAATGAAATGATTCAGGCATCATTTATCAAGACACTTTTTTTTTTTTTTCACACACATACACACAATTCTTTCTGATGTCTTGACTTTGTTTATTAGTGATTCATTCCATGATTGAAATGGGAGTATGGGTTCTCTCTGGCTGTAAATCAGCATGTCAGCTGGCATTTAGTGCTTTGTTTCTCATTTCAATCACACACCCGCATGACTTGTTATGAGCCCCCAGCGCTACTCTGTGCTTCTTTTCTGAGCCTTGTTGTACTGACAGATGGTCTGAGCTCGACACGGACCATTTTTCAAGCCTTACTGAGTTTTGCCTGACAGTCCGTCCCTAATGTTCATTTTCATTTGGGGATTTTTTTTAAATGTAATTTTAGTATATTGGATGGTAGGATTCTTAACTCTTGATGTGTTTCATCTGTTGAACTTTACTCTTCTCCTCTAATGTGATTACATGTTGCTGCTGTATCAAAGGCATGGATCCTTACAGCTGTCAGAGCTGTCACTCACAGACAAGACACTTTTATAAGCAGGGGCACCCTTATTTAGCTTTTTAGCTTACTTACCACATTATTGTCACCTGTGTTTACCCGTGGTGTAAAAAGCCACGCAATTTAAAAGTATTCACAAATGCACACACATCTGAACACAAAGAAGCTTCACACCTTGGTGCCACAATCCACTGAGTGTGACTATAGGGAGGTATGCGGGTGCTTCTCAGTGTTATCACGTAATTCGCTGTGAGTGTGGAAGCATACTAGTGGCCAGGGGTCAAAGCAAGGACCAGGGTGCCCCTCCTCCTTCATTGTCTTGGCTCCCTGACCATTAAGTTAAATGGGGCTCCTGCAGGAAGCCATGGGAGCTGTTTATGGGCACCCTCGCCAACAACTAGTTTACTAATGGAAGGTGCCTCGCCTAAATAAAGCTTAATGGCTCATTTAATCTCCCTTTGGTCCTCACAAAGTGTAACAGGATAAAAAGGCCAAGAAAATTCTATAAGAGAAATGTTGGTTTACAGTGTTGTTCATCCCCCTCCCTCCTTTCATTCTTTTTTTTTGTGTGTGTCCTCTAGTAAACCGGGCAAAGTTAACAATCTCAACATTGCAGACAGTTTGGCTGAGAGTAATTTTATTGCTTTTCGCACTGGCTGTGCCATTTGAAATAGCTGTGATGCATTTTGTCTCGATGCTCGTTGAAGAACGTTTAATCAAAACAAATACTTCAGTTTTATGTGTCTTTTCGCCTGCAGGCTTCTGTACAGTTTAGCTTTCAACGCACGTTTCCTGAGGCATCTCTGGTACCTGATAACATCCATGAAAACTAAAATGATTACTGGGTGAGTTATTTTACAACTTTGACACTTGTACACATCCGTTGTAGCATTCATCATGTTTGTGACTGCAGACATTGTTTCTTAACATGTTTTTTAAATGTTCTTATGTTTGCCTCCTCAGCTCCATGGTGCCTCTGCTGCAGCTGATCTCACGAGGGTCTCCTATGTCATTTGAAGACTCAAACCGCATAATTCCCCTTTTCTATCTCTTTAGCTCTCTCTTCAGTCACTCTCTTATTTCGGTGCATGACAGTGAATTTTTTGGCCATGAAATGGAAGGTATTGGACTTATTCATTTATTAAACTTGAATTTGCAGGTACTTTATTTTTCGCCTTATAAGTCGCAGTTTTTTGCATAATTTGCGTGCCCTGCGACTTGTATGTCGAAGCAATTTATTTATGGATTTTTTTCCCCCTATATTTATAAACCAATTTTTGGCTGAGATATGACCGTTTTCATTCATTCTGGCTGAAAAAAATTGAACACTACCATTTTCAGTTGAGTAGTAAGGTATGCCATTGTATCATGTAATAGGTAAAAGTGGCTATTAATGACACATTCGGCTTGCCTTAGCCTGCCACCGTCGTCTGGTGAAAATGCAGCTGATTTGACCGTCAAAGTGCATTTATTCAGCAAAGGGTAGACTGAGACACACTTTTACTATAATTTCGAGCAAACAAATAAATATTTTAGGTGTTTATCTTGTTAAATTTCAAATAAATACACAGAGGCTCGTCCCTTTGTGCGTGCCCGCTTCTGCGAATCGGGTTTAGAAATGCAGCTGATTTAACCATCAAAGAGCATTTATTAAGCAAACGTTATATAGAGACACACTTTTACTATAATTTCAAGCAAACACATAATTGTCTTTAAGTGTTATTCTGGTTAAATTCTTGTTAAAGTCCTCCTGTTCATGCTCCTGCGGTCGTCATTTGGCAGCCAATTGATTTTTGGCAAAACACCGAGCCACATTTCCAGGTCGTCAGCGGTGACACATAATAGATGCGACGTATACGGCGAAGTGACATATTTATGGAATTTTCCACGTTTGTAAACATATTTGGACTGATGCGACTTATAGGGCCGGTGCTACAGCGGAAAATACGGTATACAGTTTACTGTAATTAGCTACTAACATCGACATCCTCATTATGTGCTCATAGCAGAATGAATGTTCTTTGTTCAATATTTTCAGCAGTCACAAATATTTTCATGTAGATGCCTGTGTGTGTTATAAAACTGAACATGTTCTTCCTCTGAACAGGTCAAATGCAGTCGTCCATGATGCCCTTCACACTATCAGAGCTGGTGAATTTGTCTCGCTGCCTGAGAGATGCATGTCTGGGAATCATCAAGCTGGCTTACCCCGAGACTAAAGCAGAGCACAGAGAGGAGTACATGGCTGCTTTCCGCAGCGTTGGTGTCAAGACCAACTCTGAGGTTCAACAGCGGATCCAGGCCGAGCAGAAACGCTGGGTGCAGCTCTTCAAGGTAAGATGAGCAATGCTGCCCGTGCATTACAGCTGAGAGGTCTTTATTTGTTTTTCTTTCATTTTTATGTTAATTTTTCTTTAGTTCATCTGATAAATGATGAAATATCATTGACTGAATAAACTTATTAACATTCAAATTAAAGCAAAATTCCCTCAGATTATTTTATTTTTTGCCAGTGATTGACCCAGTTGACCTTGCAGTTTGTGTTTATAGTTTCAAAAGCTCTGTTGACTTGTGGGTGTTGGCAAAACAAACAAACAAAACCAGAAAATGGGGGAACAACGTTGTTTTTGTGCTCGTCTTTTAAATGGATTTAAGAAGCGAACACCAGCTACCTGTAAGACGTTGTGAGCACGTGGGGAGTTTTCATAAAAGATCTGCTCAAAGGCTTCTTGTCAGCTAAAACGACCCATTAAAGAAGTGAAGAGCAGGGAAAATGCATTTTCCAAATTGAACAGTGGAATTTACAGTTGGTTTAACGTCGCTGACCCCTAACACGTTAATGTTTGGTTCGTGTCATCAGCCGTCCCTCTCCATCTTTTATCACCTCCATTGTCGAGCTATCTATTTAATTGAAAGAAGTTAATTGAATGAAAATGATCAACTAAGCTTGTATTAATATTGCTAATGGAACTTTCTTCTTGGCCATGTTTGGAGAACGGTGTCACGCTGGAGTTTGGGAAAGGCCCATTAAGGTTTGCACTTAACCCGATGGGCTAATTAAGGAATGCTTATTCATTCCCAGGGTCAGAGAGTAGGTCTGCTCCAAACCCATCTCCACATACATTTTACAGCATTTTGCACTTGCCATTATTGCGCACTCTGGGTGCCTCCTGGTGATTGGCTGTGATTGATTGTCACTTTATGAAAATGACATGTCTTGGAGAAGAACATTTGGACTGAAATAATCCAGCTGGGGTATTATATGGAAATGGACTGGCTGTAACTTTATTCACATCAATGACATTTGTGACATTATTCATGTGTATCTGAACTGTAACTTGCCATAGCAACAAGGCAGCCTATTGGGATCAGATCTGTCTAAACATTTGTCACAGAAACTTGACTCTCCCAGTTTTTGTCCCATTTACTGACTTTTTACTGGCATTTAGGTGCAGATTTTAAAAGCTTTCGGTTCTGCTGACACACTGTTTATTAGCCAGAGCTCGGCAGTAATCAGTTTGATAGTAACTTTGAATAATTCATTTACATATTTTCTCGTGCATATTGCTTAGAAAAATAGTTAGAGACAGTTCTGCTGTGAAGGGAGTTCTTTGAATAGATTTACGACAGATATCTTACATTTTGTAAATTAGTGTTTGATCATTCTTACCGTAGTTCGGAGAAGTAGTTTGATTCTGACTGAATTGATGAGCTAATGGCTAGTCTGGTGGGAGTCAAGACCAAAGTGTATAGTGGCCTTTTTAAAACAACCAATACATTAAAAAAATCTGTGGTTGTGTCAACTGTGACCACACAGTAAACAAAAGTGTCTGTAATAATTTTTATATATTTTCCAGTAGTGTTTTGTTACTTGATTAGAAATGTGCACAAGTTTTAATTTAATTTAAAGAACTGAGCATTTGTTTCCACACTTTAGTAACTTTGGAAATGGTTGTTCACTACTTGGAGTGCCCACATTTAGTTAACTTCCTTGTCAAAATTTGCTGCAGTTTAAATTTTGTCGTTTGCAATGATTTCATTTTTGTTTCTTTGAGTTGCCATTTGTTTTGGAGATGGTGCACGAGTTGTCCTGCCACTCACTGTAAAGAGCCCAGCTGCAGATCTAGAGATCATGGTCTAACTGGGATGTACCATGTTGCATGTCAGTAGAGGGAAAAGTTAAACATAGTTTCATTCGTATGTTTTCCATTAGGTACATTTGACATATGCTTTTTCATAGGTTACTATTTAGCACTACTTTGATCAGTTTTGTTTTGTTGCTAACACTTTTTGTAATTTACTCTATTTAATTTCTGTTACTTTCCCCCCCAACTTTGTCAGATTCGCCTGATTAGCCACTAAATAAATGTCCCTTTATGTCGCAGTCACTGAATCAGTTAGTGATTTAGTTTCCTTCGTTGGTACTTTAGTGAAATGTTTATGTAGATCTCTTTTATGAGCCCAGAACTGAAGGTATTTTTGAGTTTTTTGTAAATAATTTGGGAAAACTTTTTTGGCAAATCTCCTGCATCTCTTGTTGGTTTATGTGTACCCTGACAGCGGTTCATGCATATACTTTACTAAGCCTTTTCATCATCATCAGTTTTGCCTTGTACAGTTGTAGAAGTCTCTAGTTTTCAGCAACAACCTACACCTGCTATTAATTGTTCATATTGCTTTCCTGTATAAATAAAGGTTGATTGATTCACAGAGCCCAAGGTCAAAGTTTTAATCAGAATAAGCTTTATTATCATTTTACTGAAATACAGTGAAATTATGTTCGTACAGTCATCTGAAAGATGGATGGCGTGCACGTTGCTGCTGCTACTGGAGCACGGCCTCTTATTCTTTTTCAGAATACTTTTTAGATAGAAAAGGGGAAAAAGCCATGAGGATAGGATAATGGCATTACAAAAAAATGTCTCCACACCTTGTCCTGTCAGGACACAATTTAAGACATCAAAAACTCTGCCAGTAAGCACATTATGAACACGTTACATGTGCATTTGATGACAAGATGGTGAGATTTGTCCATGAAGCACTTCCAGATAGACCATAGTCCTGATAAGATGTTGGTCAACTGGCACAGTTCTGATAAGCCTTCACTGAAGTTCTGGGGGGTGTTTGCGATAGACAAAGCTTTTCCTTATTTTACATATATCCCAGGAGAAATTTGACAAGCCGGCCTGTTTTTGAGGCCAACCGGGGGAGGCTGATTCAGATAAGCCACAATTATAGATTTTTTTCAGGCAGACTGTTTTTTTTCTTGTCAGCTTTGAGTCCTGTTGGTACTTTCAAGATCCAAAATGGCCAGTTTAGTGGACATTCCACTGGTCCATGCCTACGAGGCTCCTCCAAGGTCATCTCCAACATGCTGGCGAGTCCCAGAAGCCACAGGTGGTCTGCGATTCTCACAAATTGCTTCCATCATACGGTTTAGCTCGTAAATCAGCTGATTTTGAGTACTTGAAGCACGACCCAAACTTTCACACACATTCAGCAGTTTTTCCATGTCCTAAACTGCCGTCTTCCTTAAGAGCCGATAACATAGATATCCACCGATGCCAGAAAGCAGAAACACTGCTATCATGAATCCAATTATATAAATGTCTTTGGCGTCCTCCTGAGACAAAACGGAAAGACACATCAGCTCCCAAACTCCCCACGGATCCCTGACATATCCTACCGCGTGGATCTCAGCGGGGCATGAGGGCTCTCCAGGACCCTGTCACTTTGCTAAAAAGATTTTGTCCATTGTGTTGAAAGTCCAGCTGACCAGATCCATGACAGTAGTTTTCGTTAAATTCGGAAGATGTGTAATAGAAGCTCCAATACGTAGACACAGAGCAAAAAAGCAGGAGGAGAACAGGAGAGGGAGAGAAAAGGCATCCGCCTTGCCCGAGAGCGAGTGCAGAAAGCTAAACTATCACTTTAAAATAAAATGTCAAAAATCAGAACGTTTTCCTGAAATGAATGAAATACCTGTAGGTTACAATATGAACGCATTACGTCAAAACTAAAATTTACTCTGAACATCCTGTAAGACGTGCGGTGGCTGCTCTTGCACTTGCAGCCCAGGTAATTGGGAGATTTTAGCACCTTCTGTTCAATGGCTGATGTCAGCAGACTTCACTGGTAATTAACAGGGTTGGATGTTGAAGGATGGCACGGATCGTTTTTCTTTTATATTCCCCATAAATGGTGCATTAATGGCTGAAATCTCAAGTAGATGCCACCCCCACCCCCCTGCCCCCCGCCATCCTGTTTGAAAGCCTTCACATTTGTCAGTGTCTTGTTTTCAACTAATAAGTGTCACTTAAATTTGATGTTTGTGTGTTGAATTGGAATCTATTGTTAGAGTTAAATATGTTGCCACATATATGTTGTTGATGTGTTGACGTGATATGTGCACACCTGCATGTGTTTGATCTACAACCTAGGTCATCACTAACTTGGTGAAGATGGTGAAAGCTCGTGACATCAGACGACCCTTCTGCCCTGCAGGACACTGGCTCTCCGAGGAGGTCAACATTCGAGCTGATAAGGTCTTCAACTATTCATTTTTTTACCTTTACTTTGATTTTTTTTTTTTGGTTAGAATTTTTATTGTAAGTGAATTTACAACTCGAACTACATTCACAAGGCTGTTAGTCATTTTAAAATATAATTGTCTTGTGTTTATATATATATATATATATATATATATATATATATTTATTTTTTTTTTTTTTTATTTTTTTTTTTTTTTTTTTTTTTTGTAAAGAATTATTTTAGTATTTTTGGGAAATGTTTTTAAAATTTCTCATCCTAAAACATTTGTATTCCTTCATGAAGAGCGTCAGTCACTTCATTTACTTGCCTCTTTTCTGTCCAGGTCCCCCAGCTGTATGTACCATCAGCAAGGCATGCATGGAGAACACGGAGGAGGGGTCACATTGGGCCTCTTCAGTCAACTCTTGATGGTACTGCAACCTGTCTCGATTGCTTAAAAAAATAAAACTTGTCGAATCGTACATTTTTTATTGCTTAAAATGTTTCATATTAATTGAGCAAAAAGTAGCACATTTGTATCCTGTAAGTCTGTTACTCAAAGATTTATATAAAAAAACAATAATAACCAAATCTAAACGTGCATTCTAAATTCCAGTCTAAAGTAAATGACCTCAGTTTTCAGCAGGACCAATTAGGCACACTAAGATAAAAACACTAATGCATGCAGGCTCACTTTCAGCCATTAACATGTTTGTGACGTAAAGTGTGAAAACAGACTGATAACAATGTGTATGATCTCCCTAATGCTGCTCAGGGGCTGTGTGAGATAAATTCAATTAGTGGGAGAGTACCTGATGAACTCAACCACATCTGGTCTATGTGTTTGTCCGGCCTTTTCTCATTTCCTTAAATGGACAAGCCCGCGGCTGATAAATGAGACGTGTATTGACCACTCCAAGGCCATATTTCTCCTCAAAGATGGAAACCTGATGGGAAAATGCAGATCAGGTTGACTAATTGAGCAGAATAATTGAGCTGCAGTTGAATGGAAAAAAGTGAAGAACAGGAAAGTGATTGTGACTTTGGGAGGCTAAATGGTCCAAACCTTGGGTTTAAGCAAACATTAGCCTCTTGGATAAATCTAAGTAAGTGGATAGGCAGCTCGCAGATGAGTTAATTAAGAGTGTTATTAAAAGGCTGTTGGACGGATATGCCGTTAATGGTCGGTCTGTAAACCGTGAAATAAGTCAATCACAGTTCTTAACAGTGAAGAATGGTGATGATGTAAGACGAGTGTTTATAAAAATGCAGCTGATGTTGGAAAGTTTTTTGTTTTTGTGTGTGTGTGTGCTTCTGAAATTGAAATTGAGTCTTTTGCTAAAAATTGTTAAATTCAATTCTAGAGAATGAAAAACATTTTGCCAGCCTTAAAAAAAAATAAAAGCATTAAGAACAAGAGAAGTTGGACATTTTGAGGCGTTTAACATTTTAGAAGCTGTCATTGCCAAGATGCTAATGTTGGGTTGAAACTACACTAAGCACAAAAGCAAAAAAGTCTCATGAAATCAGATATAAACTAAATCAAACTTCACAGATTTGTATTCCTAGCTTGACAAAACTTTTCTGTTGCCATTGAATGCAACACGAAATGTTTTTGTGAAAATTGAAGACAGATTGTGGTTCAACAGAGAACAACGCAGGATTTTCATTTTTGTTATACTGCTGTTATGATCTAAAACAAAAGTCAAATTGCCTCACAACCATATGCTTTTATTGGTTTCTACACACCTTATGCCCAATACACAGCAAAAGTATAAAAACAAACAATAATACTAGCAGAAGTTTCAATCTCTGTGCAGAATTAAAGCCCAGTAAAACTTTCTGAGAAGGACATCTTTGGTATGAGTGTCTTTGTTGTTTTAAAAGTTTATCAGTTCAGGAGTATATCAAGTCAAGAGACAGCAACTGATAAACAAAACAAAAGTCATCATTTGTATTTAAACATGTAATAGTCATAAATATCAGCTGATGGGATACAAAAACTATATTGTAAAAAATATTTGGCAACTTCTTGTAAATGTTTTAATTAATACAATAGAAGGAGTTTTCCTGTCTTCAGTAAGATCACGTACATGCTGTGTTTGTTTCTGCAGTGGGATCAGAGCCTCCACAGATGTCCGTGTCTGAAGAGAGACATCTGGCCATCCTCACAGAGCTCCCGTTTGTCGTTCCCTTCGAGGAGCGAGTGAAGGTATTGCCTTGCGGATCCACACACAGCTTTGACAAAAAGTGTACCATAATTATGCATTTCAAGGGGGGATTAAAGGTTCATCAAATACATGCTTTGCTTATGCGCTAAAGGGGTAAATTAGTATGAATTTATCAGTAGCTTGGAGGCGTATTTTATGGGTGAGTTGTTATATTACTCTTTAATGCGTTAATGATGTATCTAATTTGACGCTCTGTTGTCATTCTGTGCAAGATGACATTTTTTTTAAGCATAAAGATTCATTTATGACTGTCATTGGGTTCACATTCACCCTTTAGATCTTCCAGAGGTTAATCCTCGTTGACAAACAAGATGTGCAAGGGGACGGGCCGTTCCCTGATGGCATCAATGTCACCATCCGAAGAAACTACATCTATGAAGACGCCTACGATAAACTCTCTCCAGAAAACGGTAACACTGGCATCGCTGTAATTTCAACAAGAGTTGTATGTTGAGTTATGTTTGTGAAATCAGCCTGTATTGTCTAGAAAGCAGCACGGTGCAGTAAATATTACTCAAACGTATTATACTCTATAAAACCGCAGTTATGAAGAGCAAGGTTCCAGTTTGCATTAAAGCTGAAGGCTACTTTTCTCCTCGTGCAGACTATTGAATTTCAGTAAAGCATAATTGTGATTCTGATTATTGTAATGGATCGCATAAAAACAGAATCAATTATTTTAAGTCACCTCTTTTGTGTTTGAATTTGAAAGGGTACTTGGGTGAAGGGCAATCTGATTAAAAAGAGTAACAGGAGACCTGAGCTGAAGACGTGATCTATATCATTTATGTGTCTATAAGTTATAGCTGCCTTGATTTACCACTGAACATTTATTATTCTGAAAGATGACATGCATTGAATATTCTGCAGGTCAAGAAATCACTTTTGTGCAAATTGTGTTTGTTGGGGAAAATACTCACACTAACAAATTTACTTTTCCGTTTTGACAATTGTTGTGTTCACAAAAAATATTTTAGTTAATAATCTTCATTTGTTGTTTTTAAGTAGGTGGTAGATTTAGCATCTATTATGTAAGGAAACTTTTCAAGAACAGGTGAATTTACAATGTTTATACCAATGTATTGTTAATTAGGTAATTAGGTAATAAATAGAAACTGTTTTATACAATTTAATTTGTCTGTTAAAATGCCGATTTTTAGATGATTTTAAATAACTTTAGGTCTCCCTTGTAAACCAGATTATCTAATTCAAGTGAATGTCCTGCGATTTAAAACAAATCACAACAATTGGCATATAAAATGGTGCTTTTCATAATTTTGAATCTCAGCTTTAAAAAAAATTATATATAAATTTACATTAGTTCTTACAAGCACAATAAGCAAGCAAAATATATTAAAAAGGAACTAAACACTTTTTTTTTTAATTTCACTCTGAAATAAAATAACCCACAAATATCCAAACAGCAAAAACAAAATATACTTTTCCTCTTCTGTTTTTTGAAAACATGCACATCCTAAACATGTGAGTTTCATCACTTGCAATAATAAAGTAATTAACTTTATTTGGTTAAAAGCAGCTGCTTTGTCATTCAAATATGAAATTGTTTGCAGATTATATCCATTTTAGGGGATAATTATGTTTATAACCATCATAAACTAGAAATATAAGCTTTCATGTTGACTTAATTAATATCATTACTAAAAGTTATGAAATTATTGTAAAATATCCAAAAATCCTTACAGAATGAAACTAAGTGCTATTGTGATTATGAGCAATATTGGATATTGAATTTTTGATTAATTTGTCCTCATGTCCTGCGTGCGTCTTTGAATTAGAGCCGGACCTTAAGAAAAAGATCCGAGTCCATCTTCTCAATGCTCATGGTCTGGACGAGGCAGGCATCGACGGTGGTGGCATCTTTCGCGAGTTCCTCAACGAGCTCCTCAAGTCGTGCTTCAATCCCAACCAGGGCTTCTTCAAGACGACCAACGAGGGTTTGTTGTATCCCAACCCCGCTGCAGAGATGCTTGTGGGCGACTCCTTCACAAGACACTACTACTTCCTGGGCAGGATCCTTGGAAAGGTGAGCCTTTAAAATTAAAACCTAAAGAAGTATGACGTGCAATTACAGAAGCATCAAATGCATAAAAGTAATTATTATGTTGATAAAAAGTGTCCTATTTGCTTTAGAAGCTCACATTTTTTAAAGGAGTTCTCGTTAATTTGTAACTCATTTTGGAGGCTTAAAAAAAAGCTTTTGGGCTCTTATTGTGATAGGTAGATGGAATTGTTTATCTGCCCCTTCGTTTCATTGATAGCACTATTTATTAGAGCCTAATGTTTCTAAATCATCCTTAATGCATGTGGTGGTGATTGTTTATCAAGATGCCTTCCCCAGTCAGGGGATATCATCTCATCCTGGAGAAGAATTACCTCATGACAAGCGGGTCGCCTCTCAATTAGGACTTCCATTAGTGGATGATTCCTACCCCTTGTTTCTGAAGTGACTGCATTTGGCTGGCATTAAATCAGCAGGCCCACAAAGACAAGACATAAATAAGCGTTCAAAGCTTGTCGTAATAGCATTTTGATCTGTTTTACAGTCAGGAGTAACCGGGGCTCCTCTCTTGCACAGCTCCACAGAGTCTGGTAAACTTCAGAACGATACACCTTCTTTTCCTGTTTGCTTTTCTTCTCCTCTGTATTCTGTGCAAGTGAGAAGTGCTCAATTAGCTGCTACAATATGCCCATTCCTGCTTCTGTGATGCTCTCCATAGCTAATGGTACAGGCAATTAGGCTAAGGGAAATTAATTAGAATTTGACTTTCAATTAACCCTACCTTAAGTTCTTCCTTCTCCATAAAAATGGACGTTTGAGTGGCCATTTGAGAGGCGTATTGATATTTGTTTAGTGCCGTTATAGCCTGGATAAAAGGCAGCCGTTTATATGGATCGGGATTGCATCACCACTGCTGCAGTGTGCACGGTGCACGCTGCAGCTCAAAGGACACAGGAGATTAATATTGTTAATTAATGTCCGAGGCGTGCCATTGTTGTGGAGGTGATGTATTACAGCCAGGAGAAGCTTGTCTGGAGTACTCACTGAAATGGGATTGGACATCAGAATAGAGGCCAGTCATCATCCCTCTTCCTCGCTTGTCCACCCTGCTGACAAGCTAAGATTTAAGCCACAAATGGGGAAACATGAAAAGGGATTGCTTTGCATTTGTGGCTTCATCCTAAAGATTAAAAAGATATCTTAATCATATTGTTTGTCAGCATTCTCTCTCATTTCACATGTATGTAATACCGTTTGTAAAAGATTGTTTTTAGGGGTCCATTCATCTCATTAGCACAAAACCTGCAGCCTCATTAGCAACAGCCTTCGCACTTTGTAAACTGGAGGGAAAAAAGCTTTCATCCTCCTTCACCATCAGCCTCCTCTCAGTGATCTCTCCTTAGAGGTGCAAGAGTGTCGCACCTCTGATTGATAGAGATGCGTTTGGAAGGCATTATAATTTTATTGATTCTTAATGTTGTAAATTAAGGAATTTATTTGGCAGCTAACAGAATGCACCTGCAGTGCTGCTGGCATTTATTCCACCTGATGGTGCCGCGATCTGCTTTAATTGCGTTGCCACTGCACTCACTTATATTAAAAGGCCTGGGCCATAACAATTAATTCTTTCCAAGCCAAGTCATTTTGGCACAATTTCTGGCAATAAACACTCATAAATTAGGCAAGTGGCACTGAAAAAAATAAGGCTACAAGTTTTTTCCATATACTTATTGCTGCCTCTTCCCGGCACAAGTGTTATTGATAGGTTTCAAGGGGCCACGCAGCGCATATGGTCTAAAATGAACACCGGCCACAAGAGTAATGCTAAGTGGATTATTTTGCATAAAAAATAGACAATGTTTGAAGTTGTGCAATTAACCTGTGTTTAGAAAATAGCTGTGATTTATGCATGTGTGTGTGTTTAAGATGCATGCATAATGGAAATCCTTTAGATTTATAATCCATTTAGCTGATGCGGTCAGGGTTTTTAGCACTATCATTTATAAAGACCTGTATATATTAATGTCTCCAATAGGCTCTTTTTTGGACTATTCAAGTACATTAGCTTAGGGTTTTATGAGTCACCTGCCCAGCTGTGGTTCTTAATTGCATTAAAGGTCAAGGTGAGAATCGGCATTTATAAAGTTTGAGTCGAGTAAAGAAGGAATAGGCTGCATGCTTTAGATTGACTGTGCTTTGTGTTTTTAGCTCTGTCACTCTGATGTGGTTACATTTACTGACATAATGCTTGATCTTTTGATTTGAACCAACATAATGTTGTTTTTAGGGCTGCACGATATTGGATTTTTGGCCGATATTCGATATGCCGATACGTTAAAACTTATTTGGCCGATAACCAATATCAGTACCGATATTTTTCCCTAGACCTACATACAGAGACTACATAACTTTCTCTGCTGTGGAATTAAAATACTACATTATTCTGCATGGTGTTTGCCAATTTGGCCTTCTACCAAACGCAGATGCCAAAAATGGGACTGAAAATGATGTAACACTATGTAAATATATATATTTTTTTTTTAAAAAGCACATTTTATATCGGTGAGTTATTTTGATGGAATGGCCGATGTCCAGTATTTAACTTTATCGCTAATATCGCCCGATACCATGGCGATAATATCGTGCATCCCTGGTTGTTTTATATCTTATAATTTATTTTTACATATTTTCATTACCATTACTCTTGATACTCTTTGCAGACTATTCCCTATTTAGTTGTTTTGTTTAGTGATACTGTGGTGCTGAACATTATGGGTTTAGTGATGTTTGAAATGGGGAATTGCAAAGTTAAATTATTCTACCTGTTTATTTTTTCAGCTTTCTCCTGGCTAACGTCCACTTTTATCTACAGGCGCTGTACGAGAACATGTTAGTGGAGCTACCTTTTGCCAGTTTTTTCTTATCCAAACTTCTGGGAACCAGCGCAGATGTGGACATCCACCACCTGGCGTCTTTGGACCCAGAGATGTATCGCAACCTTCTCTTCCTCAAAAGCTATGAGGGTGACGTGGAAGAGCTCGGCCTCAACTTCACTGTGGTCAACAACGATCTGGGAGAAGCTCAGGTGACTGGGCTGAATTGTTTATTTATTTTTCACTTCTGTTTCTGGTCTTGGCACCACAGGATCTGTCTATCCATCGTCCTGTTTGGTTGCTCTTTGCGGTGTTAATAATTCATTTCCTCTCCTGATGCACCACTTTTCAACTCCGCTAGAGATAAAGCACGTCATCTCTGTCACTAAGCCACGCTGCTGTGCAGGGGACTCGGCGGCTCTGTTGACCATTCCACCTGCCTTTCCTCCCACAAATTATCTCTCAACACGCCTGACATGAGCAGTCAACAGTTTTCAAGCATACCCCCCTCCCTTTTTTCACTCCAAAGCTCAAGGCTGAAGAGACGACCTACCACCACCGCTCTGAGTCATTGGCGCTCAGACCTGCACACAGAGCTCCTGTTTGCTCAGGGCTTTAACGCATCTTAACTCTTCTCAAACAACACCTGAAACGGCAGAGTTGCAACGTTGGCCCTCATGATTGCAAATAGGGCATCGCAAACACGATAGGGAAAACAATTTGTGAAAGATTAGGCACACACCCGGGAGCAGTCTGCCCTGCATTTGCCCTTGCAAGATAGCCAAAGCAAGCAAGATAACCACAGTAATTCTCTTACATTAGCACATAATCAGGATCCACTGTGAAGGAGAAAAAGGCAGAAAATGGTTTCCTGAATGTGAGGCTGTTTCTGAGAATAAACACAATACCTCACACCTGACATTACAGTGCAGTCTGAAGTCGGTATCGTTGTACTAAATGGTTTTGTGAAGCTTATCAGTTGAATTTTGTAAGGATTTTATGCTTGCTGCAGCTGTTGTAGTTTGAGCTGATAGATTCGGTTTTGTAGCCCTCCAAGTTTTAGAGGTTATTTAAGATCTGTATTTGTTTTTTATTTAAGAATAAATAAAGCAAGAGCAAAATCTTAAAGTTACTATATCCCAGTTTTAAAAGTTAGTCACCAGTTTGTCAAAACATTAAAATCGTACGCCAAATACAGAAAACGTGCACTGGGAAATGATGACCGTGATGTTTTGTTCTTTTGTTGATGAAATCTTATACCCGACTTTATGAGCAGAGATGAGCACATCATATCAAGTTATAAATGCTCTAAAGCTAATGAAAAAAGAAACTTGGGCCAAATGATAGTGGACCATATGCCCAGTGAGGCTATATTTAGTAACACTAAAACACTGAGCCACACACACTCACCTTTAGTTTCTTACATTTAATCATAAGAACATTGTTGAGAAAACATTTTAATTGCTTTTATCTGATTGAAATCACCTGGCTTAATTTAACTACTGAAACTTTTGTTAGTCTTCTGGCACTTGCATATATAGTAAAGTATGCGGCGCAATTTATCTTATGATCACATTATCAAACTGCAAAAGCAAATTTTAAAGCTCTATAAAAATTATTTTTGTCCTTTTTTTTTTTTATCCAGGTTGTTGAACTGAAGCCAGGAGGCAAAGATATTCCTGTGACGACGGCAAATCGGATAGCTTACATTCACTTAGTGGCTGACTACAGACTGAACAAGCACATCAGGCCTCACTGTCTAGCCTTCAGACAAGGTCTCGCCAATGTGGTCAACCTTGAGTGGCTGCGTATGTTTGACCAGCAGGAGATGCAGGTAATAAGCTCATGTGCAAAACTGAGACTTTTAAATAGTTTATACATTTTCAAAAAGAGGTCAAATCTTTTTTTAAATGTCCTAATAGGTGCTTATATCTGGGGCACATGTGCCAATTTGTCTCGATGACCTAAAGAACTTCACAAATTATTCAGGTAGGTTAAAGACATTTCTGATTATTTGCGTCATTAGGTGTCTGTGTTGCTCATCTTTGATGGGAGTTAAAAGGACAAGGACAAAGAATGTTAACAGGGGTAGACATAAGGACATTTTCCAGGTTGTCCAGCAGACAACCTCTTAGCAGAATCTGGTTGTCCACCAAAATTTTTGGTTGTCTGCCACGTTTACAATAAAGAAGGCAAAAAAATAAAAAAAAGTACAGTACTTGCTGCCGTACACGTCGCACTGCCGTATAAGTTGCATCTATTATGCGTCACCGCTGACATGTTACATCTGTTGTGCATCACCGCTGACAACCCGGAAATGTGGGCTGGTGTTGTGCCAAAAAATCGACTGGCTGCCAAATGGCGGCCACGGGAGCGTGCACGGGAGTACTTTAACAAGAGTTTAAAAGGATTAACACTAAAAAACAATTATTTGTTTACTCGAAATTATAGCAAAGGTGTGTCTCAGTTGAACTTTTCCTTAATAAATGCACTTTAACGGTCAAATCAGCTGCATTTTTAAAATTGTTTCACAGCTGCAGGAGCACACAGAGGTAGGACTTGCAGTGCATTTCTTCGAAATTTAACAATATAACCACTTAAAAACAATTATTTGTTTGCTCGACATTATAGTAAAGGTGTGTCTCAGTTGAACTGTTCCTTAATAAATGCACTTTAATGGTCAAATCAGCTGCATTTCACCTGGGGGGCGTGGCGAAATGCAGCTGATTTGACATTTGCTCTAGGAGTTGTAGAGCAAGACGAAGGTGGCTCTGTATGGCAAGCCAAGTGTCTCATTAATAGCCACTTTTACCTATTAATGAGACAATTGGCTTGCCATCTTGGTCGAGGGCCCTCTAGTGGCTGAAAATGGTAGTGTTCAATATTTTCCATGTCAGAATGAATGAAATTGTCAGATCTCAGCCAAAAATTGGGTTATAAATATGAGAAACAAAAACACAAGTCTCTTCGTTGTATAAGTCGCAGGGCATGCAAATTTTTGCAAAAAGGTGTGACTTATACAACAAGAAGTACAGTAATTTAAAAAGTACTTTGCACTATGTACAAAGTTTACTATTTACAAATGTTCTAGCCATCTTGTAGACTGCTTGGAATGTCCAAGCTACTGAGCCACAGACTCTTTCAGGAGCTGCTCGAGTGGAACTTCCTCGTTCTCCTCATCCTCTTTCTTGTCAGACTTTTAAGAGAGGCACTCGCGGCATATCAGGGCTCAGGGATTGATGCCCCCCCCCCCCCCCCCCAAAATCTTTTGACTGAAAAAAATTCTACACCTAGAGATGTAGAACACATACGCTTAATACATAGATGTTTATTAACTTATTACATGTCATCATCATTGCTTAGAGTAGCGGGGTGTCCTCCTTGGTAAATAGTCCAGGAAACACTGACTGGTGCTCTCACCTGCAGTCTGTCTCTAAATTGGGAACACTGCACATGCCCACCACATATCAGACATCACAACCCACCCTGCTGTGCTCTGATTGGGTAAAATTGTGACTCTGGTTCTTTTTATTTGTTGAAAGTTTAATCACTGCATCATTATTAGATTGGCCCACCACAAAACATGTTATTTCTCGCTCTCAGTTTTGAAGATGACAGGAATCTTTAGAACTTTAATCCATGTTTATTCCACTTGGTTGTCCACTGTACAACCTCGAGGTGAGATCAGGTTGTCCAAAACGAAAATAGGTTGTCTCGGACAAACGGAAACCGCTTATGTCGATCCCTGCTTAAGATCTTTTGAAGCAGTTTTGTGGGAAGGTTTTGAACAAGCAATATCTCACCTGTTGCAGATAACTTTTTGAATGAACGAAGTCTGGTGAAATAGTTTTATTATGATCTGACTGATAAGTTAATGTCCTAGACCCTAAAGTGTTTTGCTGCTATCTCAAGACAAATCTGATCTCCACAATTTTCTAATGGTTCATTCAAATGCTTTTTTTAAAATAAACATTATAATTTTAAATTTGTCATTGTAAATCGCATTCGTCTCTAAACATAGGTCCTTCAAAGTGCTATCTACAGCAGTTAAGATATTAATTGTTCATCATAACCTTTTCACAGAACCCCTCTTCAAAAGATCTGAACTATCCCAATAGCTCCTTCTTTAGGCAACTGTTAAACTCTTTTTCATTTAAAATGAGTTTTATGTACAGTATCTGTCAGCTTATATATATTTTTTTTTCTGCAATAACCTCTTTTAGGTGGGTACTCTGCCAATCACCCTGTTATCCAGATCTTCTGGGAGGTAGTCGAAGGATTCACAGATGAAGAAAAACGCAAACTATTGAAGTTCGTCACCAGTTGCTCGCGGCCGCCGCTGCTGGGCTTTAAGGTGAGCCGTTATCGGACATGAACTTTCCTTTCCCTTCATCTTTCCTCCTCCTGGTATCTGCAGTTTCCATCAGGTTTTCCAGACTTAACAGAAGGTTCTCCCCTTAATGAGCTTCTAATGAAAATACTGACTGATAAAAACCCTTAAAATTGTCATATTCCTATTAGGTGTGTCCAGAGAAGTGCATTGTGGTGAGCACTTATCTCCACATCCACTATTGTTTTTACAGTTCATGACCTTCCTCTGTTAAAGAAGGCTGTCTGCAGCTCTCTGTGTGTGTCTGGGCTTGACTAGACCTTGACTGGACAAATATTGTCATTCAGAACTTGGTACAAGGTTGAACTTTTTACCTTTCTTTCTTTTGTGTCACATAGCAGATAACAGCAATATCTTAGGAGATAAATATGCCAGGAAAATGTCTGTCTACTTATTTTAAACGTTGAATCTTGATAGCAAAGCATTTCTGAAAAGTATTCCTAATTAGAAGTAATTTCACTTTCTCATTGACTTGATTTGTAGGACACTTAAGGAGTTGCAGAGAAATGGTGGAAAGTGATACTCGGGGGCCATTAAAGAGTTTTTATGCCACACTTTGTCTGACCAGAACCTGTAATCATAATATGATTGTTTAAGTATTATTCCTGCTGTCATTACTCAAGAAGGAGTTATTGCTGTTCTAAAGTAGGAAGTGAAAAACACTCTAAAATTCTTCAGTAATATTTCCTCTGACTTTAAATAAGCCCTTCCCTCTGTGTTTAATTAATTTGACTTTGGCCAGTGTGCGGTACGCCACCCCTCCCACCTTCTGTGGGGCTTAAAGGGTGGTAATTTGTGGGGGAGTGGCCCCTGACCTGGCCCTCAGCTCGAGCCAGCTAAGCCTTAATTAGCTGTCGTGAAACGGCCTAGGATTCATTGGAGAAGAAATAGCTCTGTCAGAGGAAGCCATTTAAAAAAGATGATGGAAGCTGTCTTTTTTTCTTCTTTTTTTTATGATAGCAGTGGTAATGATACTTTCTCAATAAGCAACGATAGTTTAATACGGTAATTGTCAGAAAAATGGGGTCATTATGGCTTAGACCCCAAAGAGCCATTTAATCGCACAAGTATTGCCAATGAGACATATACGCTACCATTAAATATCAGGATGAAATCAAGGTGGAGTAGCATGTTCGTGATGGAAACGGTCAGTGTCATAGTTTGCAGACGAAGTGGCCTCATCAACTGTGAGGTTTGATTTAAAAAAAAAAAAAAAAATCCAGATAGACATCCAGATCCATCCTGCATCTCATCCAAGGGTCAAACTATGAGCTCGTCTCCCTAAGCTGATTTCATAAATTTATCCTTTTTCTGTGTTAGCTTTGCTCTTTTAACATTTATCCACACATGGAAGTTGACATTTATTGTCTAATCTGGATTGGTTTGGAAATTGGGACCATTATTGATATTATTGACTGTCTTTAAACACTTTAATATGTTCAACTCTCTGTCAGCTAATTACCACCTTACATTCGTTAACAGGAGCTCTACCCAGTCTTCTGCATCCACAATGGTGGAAACGATCTGGACCGCCTGCCCACCGCTAGCACCTGCATGAACCTACTCAAGCTCCCCGAATTCTGCGACCAGCAGCTGATGAGGCGCAAGCTGCTGTATGCCATCGAGTCTTCTGCAGGGTTCGAGCTGAGCTGAGCGGGAGGCGAAGGCTTCTTTATCCTCGTATCAAAGGACGCCATGCCACTCAGGTGGCTTTGGAGTAAAGGCTCAGAAGATGAGATAGCAAACAGTGCACTGACTGATTTGACATGTGTTTCTGTGTGTGTGCCAAGTAGACGGTGAGTAAATACTCGTAGACAGAGGAAAGAGGTGCAAGAGTAAATAATGAGATTTTTGTTTTCCTTTTTAAATACATGTATCTTTTTAGTAATTGACCTTTTAATTGCTTGAGAAGAACAGATGGAGCTGAATTTTCCAGGAGGTATCAGGTGCTGAAGGAAAACAAGAGTAGCTGCGACTCTTATCAGCTAACATTAAAAGAAAGCTGCAGATCTTTTTAGAGTCCAACTCTTTTGAAAAGTTATAAACAGTTAACATCTTACCTGTTGTAGGTAGTTTTTTTTTTTAATTTCTTCTGTAAACCTTTAAAAAAAACAGCCATTTTGTATTACATTTTTTTTTTTACAAAGATAATATGGTCATTTTGTAAATGGTGTTATGCGTATTTCTTCTACAACTTGGTGCACTACCGGCATGAGTATTATATTTCTGCCAGAAAAAAACATCTACTTTGGTCTTGACCCTACTCAGACTAACTGTTAGCTTGGCGTTCTGGTCACAATTAAACTTTGTTTCTCCAAACTGAGGTTATTTGAAAAGCTATCTACAACAGGTAAGATGTTGCTTGTTTTTAACCTTTTCATAGAACCTTACTTTAAGAGATCTGAGCTGTCCCTTTAATGGACAGTTGTTTGTCACCAAAGATTACCTGGTATGAAAAAAGGCAATACAACAAGAGGGGACGAACTGTCAGACTCTGAAGCCACCTCACGGTGTGAGTCGCAGAGACGGAGAAACTTTTTATACCGTTAGTTATTTTCATGTAGAAGTCGATGAAACTTTAGTTTTTGTGATTTCTCAAATGATAACCAGTAATAACTTGTGTCTGATTGTCGATCTATAAATGTAAACGGCTCTGAAGCTGAGAGAAAACTGGTCTTGCTGGAATAAATCGGGAGAGAAAGTATTACATGATTAAAGTATTGTGAATATGTATATGTTTTAAACTGCTCATGTATTTGTAACTTGTACAGGGTTGTTTCTTTCTTTTGTAACAAAACATGCTATAAGGTTAATCTTATCTGATCAGTACATAAAGGTTTGTGTCAAACAGATGATCAGTATACCAACAGGATGAAAGCATTGTTTCAAAAATGAATAAAACCACTTTCCCTTTTTTTTTTTTTTGTTGCATTTTCCTTCCATTAGCCTTCTAGTTTTCTTGTTACTTGTAATTTACAGTAATGACCAAGACATAAAACAGTGCTTTGTGGGGGAAATCTTCGCTTGAGTTTTACGGCCTCTGACATATAATTAAAGAAACATCCAGTTAAGAAACACTGAGCAGAAACTGTTCTGGCCTTGAGATGCATTATCGGGTTGAGCACAAATTAAGACTGTGTGCGCTTTGTCATAAATCCACCTTCCCTCTGATGCAGTGCCCAGGAAGATTTCTATCCCTCTTTGGACCCGATCCATCTCCGTCCTCTCTCCTGGGCGAAAACGACCAGCCTCCCCACTCATGTCGCCACCGGAACCCCGCAGCATCAGCTGGGCCAGAGAACTCATAGTGGTAATTGGGTCTTAAAAACCAGACTTGTCATTGAAATGAGGGATTCATCTCAATTACGACGAGATTTATTGAAGACTATTACTTTGTGATGGATTGTAACTGACAACGTTAATGCAGCATGTTATGAATCATCTCCATTGTGGGCTATATACTTTAGCTTGCTCAAATGAGTTTTAGGGGATATTTGAAGTTTTTATTCTTGTTTGTCTTTCTGCAGAGGGAAGAAACATCAGTAAGCACTTCAGGGGAATTAGAGATTGTTGCCTACTCCAAAACTTTATTTCCTTGTGTGTGCAACTGTAAATTTAGCCTCAAACTAAATTGTTGACATGGATTTTGATTAGATTATTTGTAGGCAATCAGTACTTGACATTTTTTCAGTGATCATCTTGCTCAAGTTGTTAGGACACTAGTTCACTTTTTTATGTATTGTACTGCCATCTAGTGGCAACTTTTAGTATATGAAGACCCAGATCATTTTCATACTTTCAAGACAGATATATACAGGTCCTCAAAAAATTAGCATATTGTGATAAAGGTCATTATTTTCCATAATGTAATTATAAAAATGAAACTTTCATATATTTCAGATTCATTGCACACCAACTGAAATGTTTCAGGTCTTTTAATTGTTTTACTACTGATGATTATGGCATACAGCTCATGAAAACCCAAAATGCCTGTCCCAAAAAATTAGCATATCATGAAAAGTTTCTCTAAACAAGCTATTAACCTAACCATCTGAATCAACGACGTAACTCTAAACACCTGCAAAAGATTCCTGAGGCTTTTAAAAACTCCCAGCCTTGTTCATTACTCAAAACCGCAATCATGGGGAAGACTGCCGACCTGACTGCTGTCCAGAAGGCCATCATTGACACCCTCAAGCAAGAGGGTAAGACACAGAAAGAAATTGCTGAACGAATAGGCTGTTCCCAGAGTGCTGTATCAAGGCACCTCAGTGGGAAGTCTGTGGGAAGAGAAAGGTGTGGCAGAAAACACTGCACAACGAGAAGAGGTGACCGGACCCTGAGGAGGATTGTGGAGAAGGGCCAATTCCAGACCTTGGGGGACCTGCGGAAGCAGTGGACTGAGTCTGGAGTAGAAACATCCAGAGCCACTGTGCACAGGCGTGTCCAGGAAATGGGCTACAGGTGCCACATTCCCCAGGTCAAGCCACTTTTGAACCAGAAACAGCGGCAGAAGTGCCTGACCTGGGCTACAGAGAAGCAACACTGGACTGTTGCTCAGTGGTCCAAAGTACTTTTTTCAGATGAAAGCAAATTTTGCATGTCATTCGGAAATCAAGGTGCCAGAGTCTGGAGGAAGACTGGGGAGAAGGAAATGCCAAAATGCCAGAAGTCCAGTGTGAAGCACCCACAGTCAGTGATGGTCTGGGGTGCCATGTCAGCTGCTGGTGTTGGTCCACTGTGTTTTATCAAGCGCAGGGTCAATGCAGCTAGCTATCAGGAGATTTTGGAGCACTTCATGCTTCCATCTGCCGAAAAGCTTTATGGAGATAAAGATTTCATTTTTCAGCACGACCTGGCACCTGCTCACAGTGCCAAAACCACTGGTAAATGGTTTACTGACCATGGTATTACTGTGCTCAATTGGCCTGCCAACTCTCCTGACCTGAACCCCATAGAGAACCTGTGGGATATTGTGAAGAGAAAGTTGAGAGACGCAAGACCCAACACTCTGGATGAGCTTAAGGCCGCTATCGAAGCATCCTGGGCCTCCAGAACACCTCAGCAGTGCCACAGGCTGATTGCCTCCATGCCACGCCGCATTGAAGCAGTCATTCATGCAAAAGGATTCCCGACCAAGTATTGAGTGCATAACTGAACATGATTATTTGAAGGTTGGTGTTTTTTGTATTAAAAACACTTGTCTTTCATTGGTGGGATGAAATATGCTAATTTTTTGGGACAGGCATTTTGGGTTTTCATGAGCTGTATGCCATAATCATCAGTATTAAAACAATTAAAGACCTGAAATATTTCAGTTGGTGTGCAATGAATCTGAAATATATGAAAGTTTCATTTTTATCATTACATTATGGAAAATAATGACCTTTATCACAATATGCTATTTTTTTTTAGAAGGACCTGTACATTATTGTCTAAGCAATTAGGTGCCCTCTGTCTAACTGCATCTAATGTATGAACCTACAGGTGCTGGTCATAAAATTTGAATATCATGAAAAAGTTCATTTATTTCAGTAATTCCATTCAAAAAGTGTAACTTGTATTCATTCATTACACACACAGACTGATCTATTTCAAATGTTTATTTCTTTTAATGTTGATTATAATTGATAACTAATGAAACCCCAAATTCAGTATCTCCGAAAATTAGAATATTGTGAAAAGGTTCAATATTGAAGACACCTGGTGCAACATTCTAATCAACTAACTCAAAACGCTTGCAAACACCTTTAAATGGTCTCGGTCTAGTTCTGTAGGATACACAATCATGGGGAAGACTACGGACTTGACAGTTGTCCAAAAGACAAGCACTGACAACTTGCACAAGGAGGGCACGACACAAAAGGTCATGCTAAAGAAGCTGGCTGTTCATAGAGCTCTGTGTCCAAGCACATTAGAGGCGAAGGGAAGGAAAAGATGTAGTACAAAAATGTGTACAAGCAATAAGAATAACTGCACCCTGGAGAGGATTGTGAAACAAAACCTTCCTGATTCTTCCTGCTCAGCGAGTATAATTTCAGCTTGACTGACCAGAATACCCAGTTTAAATAACATATATGACATTGTCTTTGGGTCTCCTATAGCTGGCAATAGCTGGCAAGAGCTTCAGCTAGATCTAAGTGCAAAAACGACCTTGGTTTTCTTTTAACACCAATTCAAGTCTGTGATTTCAGACTCGGATGCAATAATGCTTCTCATCTTAAAAATGAATAGCTTCTATGGATATGGATTTCTAATTTATGACCCCATAAAAATGTTTCTTATAATATACATTTCTAATAATTTGGATTGGGACTCTGACAGTCTAGATCTAGTATTAGAAATTATGGCACGTTACAGACATCTCAACAGCTTAATTAGATAAACCTGCATCTTTCATGTAAATCAAATATAAACACTATGACCATATATTAATGGAATATGTTTTTTTTGGTTTTTTTTCCATTTTACTTGTAGTTTAAGGTATGTGTTTTTCTCCCAGCTTACAGCAGGTAGCGCAACGAGCCACTTGTGGTCACTGTCGCCTTCATTTTGCACGACGAAGGTTGCGGCTAATCACCAAATTTCTTTTTTTTATTAAATGTAATTAAATTGCATACTATTCTACTCCAGAGCATAAGAGCAAAGGCAGTATTTTGTCTGTGTAGCTTCGTCGACGTGGATGCAAAGATAAGATCGTGAAACCGGAGAAAATCGCCCGGATGTCAACGTTGAAAGACGTGCTGCTTTCAATGTACCTCGTAAAATATTAAACTCAAATGCCCTTTCGGTTTCTGCATTGTAACAAGAATATGCGTATCATTATATTAAGATTTTTTAGACATACACTTATGAGAAACAATTCTGACATAGACACATTTTGACAATGCATTGTAGCTGATATGAATAATACTGTACCTCTGCTTAGTTTTGTATGTCCTACAGCACTTGAATGCAACAGCGATCACCATAGTGGGCAAGGCGGCCGGGTGGTTGTTCAGTTTTCTGCCACCATCTTTAACTAACAGCCGCTTAGCGGACACAGTTTGTGTACTAAAGCCGGGAGAGTGTAAACAACAATCGAGACGGACATTTCCTTCAAACGGGTAAACATTTCTTAAATTAGAGGATTTTCCACACGGTTTCAGAAAATGTTTGAAAATGTCTCGCGCCGCAGAGACCCCTCTTGGGATGTACTCTTTTATGTCCTCTGCTAGTCGTCTGTGTTCGATATTTTTAATCATTTTACATTGTTTTTATTGTCTCTGTGAGCGTTTTTTTCCCCTTGACATACAGAAGAGCCGGCTAATGTTTAGCTAATGAAGCTAAACGTGGTCATAAGTAAACCAAATTACGGTAACTCGGCAGCAGCTAGCTAACCTACTTTTCAAAATGGTGACATTTTGCGTTTCTAAAATATACAAAAATTCTGATTTGTACCACAAGGCTTTGAAATATGTGTCAAAGCGATTATCAGTGTAAGTCTGGTCTAATGAATGTTACGACGACACCGTACTTAAACGTGTTTTATGTTGTTTTAGATGCTGTCATTGTTTCACTAATTGATTTGTGTTTTGAGTTTATTTGTCCTTAAACTGCGTTTTCATCTTTCGCATAATTTGATTGGTTGCTCCTACAAGTTGCCACATTGTTTTAGAGTGATGGGCCTGTTGATAAAAATCAAACCCATAAATTCAATACTTTTTTCATTTATCATGAAGTATTTTATGTTTAACTTATAGTTATTTAGTGTTATTTGTCATAGTTTACTAAGGAGAGGAGAATTAACTGGGAGATTTGTCTAATTTTCACTCAGTTCTTTGGATATTGTTAATTTCTACAATTTCTAAATAATTTTAGGCAGATTTAAACAGCCGTTTTCATTCCCAGGATGAATAATAAATTTAAATAAATCACAGATAGGGATATAAATAGAATAGTTAACATGCTTGGTCTAAGGCCAAAACTTTACTGTGATTTATATTTTGCATAGAAGCGCAATGCCCAGTTGAAAAATACAAATACACTCTCTTGTGTACTCACATCTGCACAAACTGTGTTTTGACTGAGGATTAGAAGTTGTATTTTAGTGGAGAATTAGGATACTGGTGCAAATTATGCATTTTTATAATATGTGTCAAAAGATCATCTCTTCCGCAAGAAATGTGACTTCAAACTGACCAAACTACTTGTCATAAAATATAAATGGACTTCAAAAAATGGTTCGTATAACAACAAAAATTGCTTTGTAGTACATTATAGTCTAAATTTTTTTATTTTTTTATTTCACTCTTTTTTTTTTTGTAATTAATCATTGATTAAAATAAACCTTCAATCCAATATTTATGTAACAGCACCTCTTCAAGGTGGAAAATGCATTTGGCACACCAGAGAAGCACAGCTGAAGAAAAAATTCCAACTTGAACAGATGTTGTTTTAATCTCTTGCTGCTCGACTTGCTCGGATGAGTTTCCTTGTGCGGATTCCTATTTTGTCACGGCCTGAACCAAAATAAGAACATCTATGTTAGATGACGCTGAATATGCTCTTTGTTGGCTTTTTTTTTGTTTGTTTAAATCCCTGAATGCAAATCTCTGAGCTTGTGATGCGTAAAACACAGTGACTCAACATGTTACATCTTCTCACCATCTCATAAAACACAAATTAAAACCTAATGTTTTTAAAAGTTTATTTTTATACTTTACGTTCTAAGTTATATTGAGCTAACAGTCAAAAAGTTAATATTTTATAAGCCCAATCCAGCAAATGTTTTTTAGAACTGGAAAACCAATTCAATTAAATAGATGTTCGTTAAGTTGGAAAAGTGGACAAATGGATAATTGCTTAAATCTTAAGTCCATTTGCGAGAAATGTACAAATTTATTCAGATTTGATTTGCAAAACATGTTGCTTTTTTTTTTTTTTTAACTCCCAAATATATGGAACCATTTGAGGTGTGGGCTGTTATTGGTTATGGTGGTGGTTTATTGACTGTAAATTGTTTAGCTTTGCTCTGCTGTGGAAAAGAGAGAAAGCAATGAAAACAAACATTTCTTTGGGTTGGATTGAAATTATGAGGTAAAATCTTGTCTAGTGCAGAGGTCGATCATCAAGTTCTGGTCCTGACAACCATAGTTGCCAAGTTTGCTTATTATAAGCGACTTTGGGTTTGTTTTTTCTAAAGTCGCTTGCAAATCTTGTGAGTCGCGGGTTGCGTTTTTTTTGTGTTTGTGTTGAACGTGAAGTTGCTTATTTGGGCTTGACTTTCTTTTCGACTGAAACTACCGATAGTTGATAATCTCCCAGCTCCGCACAAGAAAAGATGAGTGGTAGTAGGAGGTAGTGTCACAGGTAGTTTGTCCCTTCGCCCAATTTGGCGAAGCGACATGCGCACACAGTGGCGCACAGACTCATACTGTGGCCGACCACTAGGGGGCTCTACTCACGCAGACGTCAGGATGTTTTGTTTTTAAAAATATGTAGAAAAAAATTACATATGCATAATTTTTTTTTTTAATCAGAGCTTTAAAATTATGTTATTCAAAGTGTTTAGCATAATTTTGCTCTTGTTTATGGGTAATGTCATAATAAATGTATGTTTATACTGTTTGAAAACTGCCTCTGTTTTACACATTGTGGTGGGTTGCCAGTTGGGCTTGTTTTGGGCTTGTTTTCATTGAACAGGTTGCTTGTTTCTAACGCGATATATGGCAACACTGCTGACAACCAGCTTGCTGTGGCGATCCTTGAAGAAGGGAGCAGCCAAAAGAAGAAGAAGAGGAGAAAGCATATGTTTATTGTTTTTGAGTAGATTTAAAAAATAATTGATTATTTGTATTAATGTGCACTAATTGAATTAACTTTAATTTCAAACAACTGAAGGCTGGATGCTGTTAGCTTTATGAAAAACTTCCCACAAGCCTGTCTTTGTTGCAAATAGGCATAACTCTTTTGGCCTAAGAGATGTGAGAGTGATGCATACCAGGTATGAACCAAGACTTGCACACTTTACTCTGTTTTAAAATGTTTCACAATAAGCATATCAGTAATTCATCAGTCAAATTAAAAAGCATTGTGTAGAACCATTAACTAAACTCCCCCTATTCAATCTCAGCTACTGCAAGGAAAAAACAGGGCATATGAAAGGATCTGAAATGACTAAATACTGCAAAGCAAAACAAGCTTATTTTAGGAAGAAAAAAAAAAAGAAGTGATTACTTTCTAAGTAAAAGTAAGTGGCTGCTCCCTTTTTCAGAGGTCACCACTCGCATGAAAGATGATGCAATTGTTTTACGCCGGATGCCCTTCCTGACACAACCTGGGCTCGAACCCGCAACTTCAGCATTACAAGATCACGGCACTGACCACCAAGCTACCGCAGCTCCTAATTACTTTCTAAGTCTTGTTTCTATATTTAGTTTGTAGTCTTTCTTTTTCCAGATGTAAAGTAGGGGAAGGCAATGCTTAGGTTAAATAACTTTTATAACAGTAAATGGAAAATTCAGTAGACAAAGAGAGATCTGAATTGTTGGCCTTATGCAGCCATCTGAAAGCAGAGATCAGTGATTGTACCTTGTTCTAAACAGGAATCACTTATTGGCATCAACATGTGCCAAAACACCCCCAACACCACAAATAACATGATCACAATTTAACTGCAAAGGCCACATGTTAAAAATAGCAAAAACACCAGACACACGACACTCGTGTTGTGCTCAGTGGTTTGTTTATCGTTTTTTAGACGGTGTCTTCAGGGGGTCTCTTTAGTACTAAAGTGATTTTAGGTTTGGTTGGCGTTGTTGCTTTTCATGTCTGAAAATTTTTTATACTTTTTTTTAAGACTATAAATTGCTGTGTGTGTATATATATTTTTTTTTTTTTGCTTTTAATTTTATGATCTTTCTATAAATAATTGTATATCGTTATGTAAATTTGACTGTGTGTGGTGTAGTTCTCCTAAAATATAAATGTGATAAACCTAAAACTGCTGAAAAATCTTCTGTTACTTTGTTCATCTAACTTGTTTGGTCTTGTATTATTATTATTATTATTATTATTTTTGCGGTTTCATAACTCCATTATTATTACATTAATAATACCATTTATGGTCTCATAGTTAATTAATTTAAAAAAATAACGAAAGCAGTTTTCACATTTGCTCACATCCTCAGGCTAAAGAATAATCACTCAGGTATTGTGTAATTTGGCGGAGCTTGTATCTAGCTGTTCTCATCCTAGCGTCAATATTTCAGTACAGAGCAGCCGTGTAGGGATTTTCCACCACCAAAATGTCTGCTGTCATCCCTCCTCCCTCTTTTCAGGTGTATCATTTTGGTTTGGATAGGAGTTGTGATGTTACACGTGACATTGCTCAGTTTGTTAAGCTTAATATCACGTTCTAACAAAATTGTACTCTTTTTCACAGACGCCAGGCAAAAGACTTAAATAAACCAGCTCCTTCCGTCGCGCACACACAGAGCCATGGTGGAATACTACCAAATATTAGGAGTCCGCAAAAATGCAACACAAGAGGACATCAAAAAAGCGTAAGCACATTTGAATGTTTTTGCTCTAATTATTGCTGGTGCTGCTGCTTATTCATTTGTTGACCACTCAAAACGTATTGCAAGGTAATATTTCCCAACTTAATGAAATGACGGAAGGAAAGAAACTGCATTTGATTATATTTTTGGTGGAGTTTTGTAACCTTGTTATTGATAGATACCTTCTTCTTTTAGTTATTACCCCATGCTTGAAGGATAAGCTTTCCATGTTTTTTTATTGGTATCCCATAAGCAGACTTTTGTTTTGATAAGAGAAGCACTTTCTTCTGGTAAATGCTAAAGACTAAATCTTTTTACAGCTTAGATATGCACTGGAGTGAACATGACGTTATTTTAGGTGATGCTGTAAATTATACAGTGAAGGAAATGCTGGAATGATAAAGAAACCACTGAACAGCTCTAGTTAATTAATTTCAGAAAGTTTAGTTTAATTGGTAGCTATTTGCAATTACTTGTGCACAGAGATAACAGTATCTCTGAGCCTGTTTTATTGTCCCTATCCGTCAGTGAGTCATGGTAATGCCCTGTGATTCTTTGTGATTGGATTGCTGTAAAAGAGATGGTGTAAATGTTGTTTTTTATTGAATATATTGGTATAGTTTAAGTTGCTTTAGAGTCTTAATTGAGCACTGTTTTCAGACAATTCAATTCAGTTTATTTATATATTTTATATTTTTATAGTGCCAAGTCACAACAGAAGTCATCTCAGGGCACTGAACAGAAGCATTCATATATAAAAATAATAATTTAACATTATTTATCTGAGGAGCAGACTGCTTTGAATTTAACTCCATCACAGAACTCTCATCTTGAGCGAGCATGAAGGCGACAGTGGAAAGGAAAACCTCCCTCATGAGGAAGAAACCTTTAGCAGCAGAACCAGGCTCAGGACAAGTGGCCATCTGCTTTGACCGGCTGCTGGATCCCATCCCAACCAGGCTATTGACAGACGCATTTCCCTTAATTAATAATCACATCGCTAATAAACTGTTATGTACCACAGAGCTTTGATTGCTGTAATTAAACCTTTACTTAAGAAACACATAACCTTGACTCAGGAATCCTAGCCAATTATAGACCTTTATGTAATCTAACTTTCATCTCAAAAATTCTAGAGGAAATAGTTGCTGGTCAGTTACGTGGACACCTGCAAAGAAATGTATCCGTTTGAAAAGTTTCAGTCAGGTTTTAGAGCTCACCACACTGAATCTGCACTGTTGAAAGTTACTAATGATATTCTCATGGCCTCTGACAATGGACTTGTGTCTACACTGGTCCTGTTAGACCTCAGTGTTGCATTTGATACAGTTGATCACAATATTTTATTCTAGAGACTTGAATATGATATTGGAATTACAGGAACAAGGACTGTAATGTTATTTGTACTTTGGCTCCTATAATGTCAGTATATGTTAATATCTGAATTTACCAAAATATACAAATTCTCAAAACTAGGGATTTGCAGATTACTATTATTGCAGATTATTATTATTATTATTGCAGGTGACTAGAACTGGTTGTTTTTCAGCTTGTCTAATGTCCAACATTCAAAAATCTTATTTTTTCTGTTCTGTGAACACACAGCCGTCAAATACAGTTCTTGGAGAGAAAGTCAGAAGTAAACAAAATTGAAATCAGAAGGGTTAGAATTGTATACAAATCAGAAATTAGAATTGGACTAGAATTCTGCTTCAAACTGCTGAATTCCTTACTATTTATACATGTCTATTTGTTTATCGGGTTTAATATATATTTAATTGCAGTCAGAATATGAACTGAAATGCCACAAAAGTTGAACTAAGATTTCTCAGTCAAAATCTAAACCAAATTTTTTAACACGAGTAAATTACATAGTTATCAATCAGCCTGCATCGTTTAACTTGTTCCTAGGCTTTTGACCTGTAGAGCAGGTTTTAAACCACAAGATAACACATGATTCCAACTACAAAGAGTTTTGGGAGTGAATCCCTGAGTTGTGCGAATCCTTTCTTTTCTTTTCTTTTTTTTGCTGGTTGAATTTCAGTCCCTTGTCCCGCTGTTGCTTGGCTTAGAAACAAACAGCTGATGCGGCGTAAGCTGCTGTGCGAGGCTCACGCTGCTTGTCAATGCAGTTCAGGCCATCTTTGTTAAATCTGCTGGGGTGGGGAAGTGGACGGTCTGTGCAGATTTGTGTTTGTGTGTCAGTGTTGTCCTGGTTGCCACCCTAAAAAAAGCCAAGCATGTAGAGATGTTAGACTTAAAGTCACGTGATTAAGGAAATAAATCTTTTTTTGAATATCTGTTTACGTTGTAAGACACAACTGTTACCAGGTGTTAGAATTAGATAACTTTAGATAAACAGCTTAAAATATTAGTGTTGATATTGAGCAAAAACAAGCCAAAAAGTTTTAAACACGTGGAAAAATCACACCCTATAACTGGTAGAACAACCTTTACTGGCAGTAACATACATTCCTGCTCTTATGATCTTATCATTCATCTTATCATTCATCTTATCATTTTGCTCACTCTCATTCCTTTCTTTTGTTGCTCAGGTACATAAGGTTTAAAGGTTTTCTTTCAGTTTCTGTTTTGTTTAAAGTTCCCATCTCAATCTTTCTGGACTTTGACTGAGCTCCTGCAACACCTTGATTATTTATTTTTAGCTGATGTGTTGTAGATTTGCTGATGTGTTTGGGATCATTGTTCTGCTGCAGGACTGTGTTCAAGTCTACTTTGAGTCTTTAAACAGATTATGAACTATTTCTCATATTTCTACAAAAGTGGTTCCCAAACTTTTCACTTCTTCCCAATAATAAATATCAGAAACTTGTGCATTTGACATTACTACTTGACTTGTACAAACATTACTAATAAGCTGAGTATAAATGTGTATAATAGACAAAAACAACCCCTAAAAGTATTATTGGTTATCAATTAATTCTAGAATTGCGCCGCTCAAGGTGGCTGAGCAGCTCTGTTACTTTCATTCTGAGATTTTACTTTTGGAAACTTTAGTTCCTGTTTTTCTGGATGTAAATCACATTTTTGGGTGATTGTTTCCTCTGGTGTCAGATGCTGCGCAGCTGGAAGGATTTTTACTGAAACTTTTTTAGTTTTGGATATTTATGATGCGTAACCATGGCAACAAGGCAGTTTTCTACAACCAACAGCTGATTAACATCTCAAAGCTCAACTAATATCTCAAATACAGCCCCAAATCTCAAATGAGTTGAAAAGGATGTTCTGTGGATGCATTCTCATCTACCTGCCGGCTGTGCTTGAGTGTCTGACCACTGAGATCCTGGAACTAGCAGGAAGCATGGCTCATGACAGCGGAAGGACAGAATCGTCCCTTGGCACCTACAGTTGGCTGTCCGCAGTGACGAGGAGCTCGGCAGACTGTTGGGAGGAGTGGCCATCGCTTTGGGAGGAGTTCTGCCCGGCATTCGGGCGATCCTACAGCCCAGGGGAACCGAGAGGTCAGCCGAGTCTGAGTGAATGGATCGGACGGCATCTGCAGCCAGTTTCTTAGGATCCACTGTGGGATGGACCTTTACAAGAGATCCTTCCTGTCTACAGCCATCAGTATCTATAACATCTCTTAATGAAATGAGGATAACGAGTTACAACAACA